GAGACGCAAGAAAGATTAGAATTAATCGATTGGCCGGGTAGAGGAGCCGATCTGAATCCCATAGAAAATTTGTGGGCGGAATTGGTTAGAGAGCCGCTTTATGCCACCACACCCGATGCATTGTGGGAGGAAGTATGTCAGCGTTGGAATTCCTTACGTGAAAGAAACATCTGCGAAGTTTTGGTCAACAGCATGCCAAAAAGATTGGAAAAGGTTATAGAGAAAGGCGGCTTCTGGACCAAATATTAATCATCTTTTAATATTTGTGTGTGTGCAAGTAGATAATTCGTGACTGGTGGTAACTGTTCGAAGTTTAACTTTATGTGTTGTTATTATTATTATTTTGACTACTTAACCGTATTGTCTACTTTGAGTTATTATGTATAAATGATTTAAAATCTATATGTAAACTATTTTTAAACACTTTTTAATACAAGTTTTATTTAGTATGCTTGTGTTGTTCTTTGAGGAATATATGTGTATATTATTATAATGTCTGTAATTTAGAAAGTAAAAAAAACAAAAGCTAACGTTTTACTTTAATTACTCCATTCATAAAACAAAAATTACAAGAACTAGTTACGAAAATTTAAATGAAATTTAGCCGTTTACTCAATAAATATTTCGTGAAGCAAGAAAATTTTCAATACAATTTTTATGATTTTTTTAAATTTAGAAATTTAAAAATTTAAATTTCTAAATTTCTAAAAAAATTTCTAAAAAATCTAAATTTAGAAAATTAGAACGACACGTTTAGAAATCGTGAGTCACGGCAGTGACTCCGTGCTAATCGTAATAAGTAACTGACTACTATATATACAGGAATCAGTATTTTCGGGGATCGATTTCTCCGCTCTCCGTAAGACAATAGTAATTCAGAATATCTCATTCGAAAGATACTTGTTTTCTAACATAGTGTGCAAAATTTCACGCTTTTCTGTAAAGGGGTCTCCGAAATATAAGCAATTGAAAATCACAAAAAAAGCTTTTACCATACAAAAAAAAACCGGCATTACCATAAGTTCATAGAATATACTGGATTTAAAGAGCTAAAATTTTAAACTTGCGTCTTTCTCGTTATCGGTGAGGTGCTGGCGAAACGTTCGGGTCGATAGGTCACNAAGCAATTGAAAATCACAAAAAAAGCTTTTACCATACAAAAAAAAACCGGCATTACCATAAGTTCATAGAATATACTGGATTTAAAGAGCTAAAATTTTAAACTTGCGTCTTTCTCGTTATCGGTGAGGTGCTGGCGAAACGTTCGGGTCGATAGGTCACAGTTTACGGGAGTTTTACTGTAAAGAGTACCAGTTGTACTCTCCAGGCTTCTGGTTTTGAAGCCGACCGCGTTTTCACCAAGGACTACCCTGGCTTGCTCCAGGGTTCTCCACTCCCTGGGTCAATTGTATTTTCTTTTGTTAGGCCTCCAGGGCAGCTCCCAAGCTGGGAGTTCTAAATGTTCTCTTGTTTGTCGCGTCCTATGTACAGTACATTTTGTCATGCTCATTGTTGTGTCAGAGAGCACTCTCATTGTTGTTACTTTTGGCAGGTGCCTACACTCTAATTTTCTATTTTGGTTTCAATAAACGGACTCGATGCTGGTTGCTCATGAGATCTCACTTCACACTTTCCTATCATTCTTGCTTCATATTCCCTCTAATCCCCCTCTCCTCCTCCTCTTCGTCCTTCCTTTCAAAGGCTAAGCCATTGGTACGGCCTTCTAAACTTTCATAAACAGTAGATAGTTTACGGGAGTTCTCCACAGAGCTATTGTATTTTTTTTTTCGTTTAATTTTATGCTTACGACTAGAAAATTGCATGGAAACAAATGATTTTTATTCAAAATGTTATCCAGAATAACAAAAGCTCACATTTATGCAAATTAAAACCCTTTTATAAGAATTTTACTAATGGCGTATCGAAAGCATTCGGTTGGCAGCTATCAAGAGTACCAATCGAACTGAACAGCACGTAATCGTCTTAGGTCTTGATATATTTACACAATCATTAACCAAAAAGCAATTGAAATCCGAACAAAAACATCTGTAAACCTTACACCACGTAAAATTTTTTTTGACAATTTAGAAGACACTTAAGTATCTTTTTCTTAGTTTTATTTTGTAAAGATAAGCTTGGCACTGGAAGCGGCACTCACAAGATCTTTTACCTCGATTCGTAGCGTCAAGCTTATCTTTACAAAAAACCCTCCTACGAAAACAATTTGACTGTCTTGCAATACATAGACATTAAATGAAGATATCATACTTAATTTGTACTAAAATGTGTTTCATACACAGTACATTTAAGATAAAACGGCAATAATTTGAAAACGAGTGATCTACGCATGCTTGACGGCAGTTTCTGTACCTCTAAGGTTTGTATGTTTTGGGAGATATCACTTGTTTTTTTTTTTATTCTGTGCGCTTTATAAACAGTTACATTAGTTCATTCATTTGCAATGTATTGATGACTTCGTGCATTATATAGTATTAACGTAGATCAGTGGTTCTCAAACTTCTGGCCGCGTAACTCTTGGACAGAAGTAAGAATCCCCGAACACCCCTTGTGTAGACTATAGACTTCTGTAGAGTTAGTGGAAGAAACGGCGAAACTAGATCGAGACACCTCTAGCGGCGACTCTGGGTAACAGAACCGGGGCTACAAAGGCGTCATCACTGTTGTTCCACCTGGTACTTTTGTACTAATCTAGTACCTTTTTACTTGTTCCAGTACCAAGATACCCAACACCATTTTTCTAGTACTATTCATGAAATCCTAATGCTTTTCCTTTCAATTTAGTAGCTTTCAAAACATTCATTTTTTATTCTATATTTTTTTCCTTTACTTTGGCAATAAATAGATGTTTTTATTGCTTCCTCATTCAAGTGCAGCAGTTAAACGTATTTTTTTGCAATTAAATTTAATAAAAACTAAACTACAAAATCGAGTTATTACCGATTCCTGTGAAGCACTGTTATTAGCAAAGGAGCTACTTAAAAGCAACAACGATAAAATGTTACACTTGGAAACCATCATCTGCTTTAACCCTCTTAAGTTTAATAACGAAGGCCTTGGCAATGGTTTTACTATGAAGGTTAGGTAAAGCTATAGCTTCGGCATAGCTGCTAAAATGGTCGACAAAGACCAATATATACTTATTTCCATTGGTTGTGATAGGTAAGAGACCCATAATGTCCATAGCCGTCAGTTCGAATAGATGTGTCAGGGGAGGAAATAATTGTAGTTCTGCTTCCATTTGTTTATCTTTCTGCTTTTGTAAAGTGCATAGTTGACAATCTTGACAATAATTTTTTATATCTTTGTTCATGGTTTGCAAAAAAATAGTGATTGAAGTTTTTGTTGCTCCTAGATGACCTCCGACAAGAGCATCATGATAAGTATGTAAGATATATGGAATCAGGACAGATAGTATGACTAATTGTTCTAGGAGGTCTCTCTGATTGGTAGGTTGATGATGATAGGGGTTTCCTTCCTCCACTAAGAAAAATTGTTTCTCGTCTAGGGATCTAGGGTGATTTCCTTGAGTTTCTGGATGATAGGGTTCCATTTTATATCCCATATCTGTTAAGTCTGTATTTATATATAAATGGGTTCAAGTTCCTTGGCCTCCATGATCTCAAAGAGAATTTTCACTTTTGCAACATATATGTAAAGTTTACTGAGACAGACAGACAAATATAGGATTGGAATGTGAGACAAATGAATGTTCAATAATTATGAGTGTAGACAGGAAACAAAAAGATTTCCTTCATTTCCAGAGGTGTCCAAAAACATTTTAAATTGGAGTGACAGAGCCAGAGACATTTTAAATGGAAATCTTGACAAGACAGCTTTGCTATACTATGATGTATATGGACTTGTAAAAAGAAAACAATAGAAGAAGTAGATGCTGAAAAGTTATATAATATTGTTCTTGTGCCAATAGTAGTGGAAAATCAGATATGACAAATGATATTTGTAACAATTTATAAGTTTTTCATTCTGTGTACTGAAAATTTATCTACACATATCTCTTTTGCAACAGTCTAACTCCTTGACATATCAGGATTGCATTTGATATTCAGTCAGGTATCAAAATTTCATTTTCTTATTAACTATTGTATCACTATTTGTTGTGATATTGCAACTCTCAAAATGAAAATTACTACATTCAATCATTGTTTCTGTATAATCACTAATTCATATTTCCTCTATTCAAATTACCATAATGTCATATGACAGAACTTGTCAAAATTAATAAGTGTATGTATCAAAAGCACATTGCAGAATTTGAACAAAATTGATAAATTGGAATACAGTAATTATTTTTAATGTGCAATTATTATCTTTGCTGGAATAATTTATAAAAAAATTCTCAGAAATGGCATATCTTCAACGGATGTTTGAAAAACATTTTTATTTATGTTCTGTTGATTGATATCAATTTTACTTCCAACACACAAACATAGTTATATTGTAATGGTATTTTTTATAATTCTCTTTCACTTTAATCAAATTTCAGGATGAATTGGAAAGCAGGTGTGTGTTTGATCTCATGGTGTGCTGACACTTTGATTTACAGGGAACCAATGAGTGGCATTTGCAAGAAGAACCTACCATCTTTCCAAGAAGTCATCACATGCCTGAGTTACATCAATTGCAATTGCTTACAGAAATGAACAAATGGTTGTGAGACTGGCAAAACATGATTTCAATATTACTTTCAACACTTGGCTTGCAAATGTCACTTTCCATTACCAGTAAGTCAAATAGTGCCAAACACCAGTGGTAGAAACACACAATAATAATGTGAACACACTGGCATACAAGAGTATCTATCAAGATCTTGGTACTCTTGTATGCTAGTATTCACATATAATCATCTTTCTGACTAGCCCTGTAAATAGAATAATGATGTTCATGGAAATAAAACTACTTATAATTGCTTAGCAAAATAAAACTGAATATTTATATTTAAAACCATTAAAATGAAAAAGCTTCTTTTGTAAATGATTTTATTACAAAAAAATTTCACAATTTGAGTTAGCTATATTCAAAACATTTGGTACCTTAATAATCAAATTATGGATAACATTATATTGATAATCTATCTCATTTTCACCATCATCATATTCTTCCAAATTCTTTAAGTTTTGCTAATAATTCATCAACGGACTCCACCTTAGCTCCAGCTTCTCTTACGGGAGGGTCTTCCACTGATATAATGTCGATTCTGGGAGTTATATCCACTCCCAAATCTGAAGGTTTTTTCTTATCCAGAGGCTTCTTTTTTGCTTTCTGGAATAATTATATATAAATAATAATAATAGGCTTATTACAAAAAAAATATCTATTTTACTTTAAGAGAAAGTAGACAAGCTATCAAGCAAAGAACTTTAAAAAGTCAGAATTTTATTAAGCATTTTTGGAACTTATGCATTCCATCTTCAGATAAAAGTATTCAAACAAAAAATAAAATCCAACAAAATTTAATTATTAGAAGAAATATGCTCTCATTTAAAGTCTGGCATTCTTCATGTTTTTAACACTTACCCTGCTACGAACATAATATTATGTTTCGTGAAGACTTTGGTAAAAAACAAAAAAGTAATATTATGTTCTTCTATATATCAAGATATTTCTAGCTTTAAAATGTAACATTACATTTTTCAGCAATGAAAATACGATTTCTTTGTGTATTTTAGTGTGTCTGTTAATAAATAGTGGGCACTATTTAGTCAGAAATTTGAAATATAAGCGATTCTGCACAACCATGATCATCGTCTGATTCGAAGTTTGGTGGCCATATTTTGTAAGTGAATATTGAGTCATTTTATTTTTTATATGTGAGTTAAGTTTAGGTATGGCGCATTAATGTACAAACTAATAATTGTTCAAATTCATTAATAAAAAATCAACAAATATAATGCTGATTATATTGATTTATATGACGAAAATGTCACGATTATGATTTAGGCCTAAGATAAAAAAAATAATAGAAATAAGCCACATAACTTTGTTATTATTTTAAACCTGTATAGTTTATGATATTACATAATTTATATACTTTTTAGATATTATCAATACAAAAGTCGAATTCCTAAATTTCTGATAGTGCTAATGCCATCTTATGTACATTTGCCGAACCAACTGAATTACGAAAAACGGCTACAGTCAGAAAAAAGTCTACTAATAATACTGATACAGTACATCATTATTTTGAATAAATCAATCGATGTACTATATATTTCATACATAAAAATACTAATTTCAAAGCTATATTGCAGTTTATCATTTTTTTCATTTTATCTTTATCTCTAAAACATGTCCAAATAACATTAAAGCATAATACATAAAAATAAAGCATGAACACATCAAAATTGAGTAATGTACAGATAAATGTTCATAATATCAGACACTCTTTTTACATTTTACCTAGCTTTAGTCAATCGTTTTTTATTTTTAGTAGATAATACTGTAAAATTGCTTAAATCAGTCAGCAGACAGGTAAGGAACTAGGTCAACTGGACCAGCAGGGTAATAAACATAATTTAAAGTGTTTTAGGATGTTTATGTTTTAATTGAATTTTATAAAATTAATGTTAAACTACAATTTTAAAAATTTATAGTAAGAATATTTTTTAAAGTTTATTTTGATATTAAAATCAAAATAAACTTTAAAAAACAAAACAGCAATTTGTGTTTTCTATTCAAATTATTATATGACTCTCATATATTTCAAATAGTTTATCTGAAATAACAATTAAAACTATTTACCATTATATTTGGAAGAGTGGCGTATCGAGGCTCGTTGAGTCTAAGATCGGCACTCAAGACTGCCGGAAGCGTTACGGTTATATTTTCTAGACCTCCATCAATTTCTCTTGTGACTTTCATTTTGCCATTTTCTATTTCTATTTTTGATGCAAATGTTGCCTGAAAATTAAGAAAGTTTTTAATTAAGTAATCATAAATAAAATATTAGATTTCATATTAAAATAAAATTACTAAGGAAATTTCATTGGTCTTTTTACAAGATCTAACATATAAGTAAAAATTATGTTATAAAGAAGGAAATTTCCACAAATGTAATACGAAATACTAATATTATATATACAGTAGACCTCCCATAATGCGGGTTCATATAATGCGGATTCGTATATTGTGGTGAAAAAATTGCAACCGTATTTGTATAAAGATGCTAAAAGAGACTCGTAAAATGCGGTCTCCGACTCGTGTCACGACAGGATTGGTCGAATCTGGACCAATAGTGGACGAGCAGCCGAACTACTTACATGCTACAGAGAGTTTAGGCGGGTAAGATGAGTTCACTATCGTCTGTACAGTATATAAATTAGATACTGTAATTTTATACATTTCTTGTGAAAAAAACATTTCTTATTCAACGGCCATAAAAATTATTTCTATTAATGATGTCTCCAAAGTTCAACTTATCAGAAAACGCGCCCGCCGTTTGGTGCGCTGCTCCACGACAAAAACAAGTTTAAGCAAGGGCGTCGTTGAACGGTGCACACACTAAGTAATCCTACAATTTTTTGTTTATAGCATAGTTTATACGGATTATTCCCAAAAAATTATATGTGTTTTGGAAATGTTGAGTCAAATTAGTCTAGAATTGATTAATTTTATGGAAGAAAACCTTTCAAACAGCCGCAGTCCGTAAACTGCACACATGCCGGGCTGAGATTGGCTCATGTATTTAAGGATTCCTACAACGCGAAATTCTTATAAAGTAGAATGTATCTACAGCATTATAGGGGGGGTCGACTGTATCTAATAATGCTCTCCAAGCTGTATGTTGTTGTCCTTGTAGTTGATAGCCATTTTGTTGCCAAATTGAAATTAATTACACAGATGCTTATGCAGAACACAGAATGTAAAAAGTAGATACAAAGTGTTATAGAAACTATATACACAAATGCTCTAAAAACATACTGTATATAAGCCACTGCTCAAAACTGGCTATACTTAATAAATAAAACAAGAAAACCAATATCCAGCAGAAATTTATACAAAAGCAAGAGTGATTTTCATATAAATCACCTTGTTTTAACAGCTGTAAAGGTCAGTTAACCTGAAGATGTCAAAAACATCTGCTTTGGAATGCATTTCTGCTGAATATTGTTTTCTTTCACTTTGTTTATTAAAATGTATATTCTCTATGTATACAAATGCTCAGAAATTTAATCAAGAATCTTAACAAATGCTAAAGCATCAGTATTCATTACAACAAAATTCATCCCTTGCAAATTGGATTGAATCATGTTATTCACAGATATAGATAGCTCTGACAGACTTAGCTCAATAGACATTTAAACTACATGAATCTAATGAATTCACCTGATAACAAATTAATGCTTTTTAGCAACATGCAAATACTTTTCATTTTACATATTTTTATATATAAAACCCATTCTGCAACCCCACATAAAATCACTTTATGAGTCTAGCCCTTTTAAAAAAATGCAACAAATTCCAACAGGAGAGATAATGTCTATGCTATAAATAAAGAATCTAGGTTAATATAAATCTTCTAGAAAAAATATCATATACTCATAAATGAGCTGAAAAGAATTGATAAAAAATCTGAATAAAGTGAAGAAAAATTTGAGCTGGCAAACATGTTTCCAAAAGTGACATAAGCCAATCATAATACCAAACAGAAAATGAATACCTTTATAATTCTTACTAAATACAAATTCTTCAATTTTTGCAAAAAAATAAGCTATATAAAAAAAAAAACTTATATTTGAAAAATAGTTTTTCTTCTCTGATTAAGATACCTGTAAAAATGTAGTCACCAACATCTCTACAAAAATGGTTAAAAGGAATACCTAACGCAAGTTCAGGTCCAAATAAAAGATTAGAATATTCTGGACAACAAATCAGCATGAGAGTTAACCACAATATCCTCACTTGTACCTCAATACCCACAACAAAAAAATCCTGATGTGTATAACCAGTTCAGAAAACAGTAATCAGTCTAAAACAAGAGTTAGGTACTTTCAAACAGTGGCCTAACTATCAGAGACAATATAGATAGTCCTATCACAAAGACATTTATTCAAAATAGTGTAAACACACCAAGCAATAACAAATGCCAGTGCTTGATATTATTGTGGGAGCTGATTGAAGAATACACTCAAATTTCCTTTGAATACTCCTCACAGATTCCTGCATCAATGCCACTACCAGTCTAATATTCATCTGTAAATCAGCTATAACAGATCTTGAAAATAAGTAGGCATTCTTCTGAGAAGCCAATCAAGCAGACTAAGAAAAGAGATCTGAAAGTGTTTATCAAATTAACTACACTTCACACTAAAATAGTTATGATGTAATGTGCTCATTGTCTTACAGCATTAAAAGCAACTTTTTATTCAAAATTGCAAGTACTTTCAATAGCTTACAACTAGCCTCATCAACTTCATAGCTTACAACTAGCCTGATTCAATTGAAATCAAATTGAACAAGGTTTTTCATATTTGAACGGAACAAAAATATAACAAGCAACTTTTTTAAAAACTTATTAACTGATTTTATTATGAGGAATGTGATGCTATGCAATACCCTCTCCTTTACCTACAATATGTAGATGATGTCTTAATCACTTGGGAGAAATTAGAGAAGGAACTATTAATTTTTATAGAAATGATGTCCTCAATTAACTCTTCTATTTCATTCACCATATAATATCAGAATGATGCTAAAACATTGTTCTTGGATCTACATGTCTGCAGATTCCCAGTATTATATGTCATGCTTTTATTTTAACAGATTAGTCCATAAGATGTTTGTTTTATGACTCAAACATCAAATTTCAGTGTTGTACAATATTATGAACATTCAAATAGCACCATCAGAATATTTTTGAAAAACTGTTCTTTATTTAAATCAGTTGTGATTTGATAATGAGGCAAAATGCTTCAGGAAAAAAAAATGTAAGTTTGATTAAAACATCAAAGACTCCTTAATATTTGTAGCATTTTTTGTGTTGGTTTGATTGATGGAGTCATATACATCTGAATACGTCTTTGACAGAGTTCCAGTAATAATGTTTAAACTTTGCAGACAGAAAAAATAAAAACAATGCCAGAGAAACTTGAAGGTCTCAAACCTGCCACTCTCTAAACCATTTTCATCATTAAGGAAAAGAGCATTCCTATAATCATAGAGTCAATCAGACTCGTCTCAGCACCAATGCAGTTTTTAGATACGGAAGGAACAGAAGAGGTCAGAGAAATATCTGAAAGTATCATACTTGCTGCTCTCTGCCATCTTTTCTTCCTTATCACAATCTTGGAGATAAGTTCAGAGTCAAGATCCTAAAAGAAAGTTGGCTAGAATGCCTCAGTAGCATCCTTCACACCTCTAAAGACACTCTTGAAGAAAAGTAAGAAATAGGATCAACAGAATCCTAGAAAATGAAGAGTAAATCCTAATAAAGACCTCATCTAATGCAGAATGAAAAGAAAAACAATTTCCCAGGTTACAAATGTAAACTGGGGGAAAATGATCAATGCCTATATATGCAAGACTGAATACAACACAATATTGCCAGATATTCTGATATTGTTCTCAGCTTATGATATCTTCCAGTCTTCAACACAATCATGTCAACATTAGCAAATGCACAACTCAGACTCAACTGTAAACATCCAAAACAAGGAAATTTAATTGAAATACAGTAGCCCAAATTCATAAGCTATACAACTGGATCCCTCATAACAAGATGGAGATGCCGTAAAGGGTATGCTTTATCATTATATACATAAGCACATTTAGATGATGATAAGATAAAAGTTAACTGCAAGACAAATCAAGTGAGTCAGTGTGATAAGCACTAAAAGTTTAATTGTGTATTTATTAATGACAAGAAAGCTATAGTAGTATAATTGCAAGACAGTAATGACATAGAAGACTACTGTAATGAAATTACTGTAAAACACTTCTTATATCTTGGTAGGGCTAGGTGAAGACTGTTTATTTTTATTTCAGGAAGATCAATTTCTTTCCCAGCAATTCTTAGCAAATACCCTTCAGTCTGGCAAATGAGATTGAATTCTTATGACTTATAAACACATTAAATACTGCATAACCTACATGCAGCTCTTATAATGGCTTTTTATTTTCTCTGCATGCTAAAGTTGGACATGCTAGATTTAAAATTTTAATGTCTTTTTGTTTTGTTTAGATGTTTACTACCAACTGTCTAATTTTCATGTCTGTATCTGCAGTACATTGTTTGTAATTAACATTTAATCTGAGATAGGGGAGTTGAGACTCCTTCTCTCCATAGCCAAAACACAGGAAATGCATTAAACTGTATTCCTCTTTGAACCACCTGTATTGAAGTTTTACCTATGTACAACTGTGTGTAAAATGTCATCTGTCTTCCACATGCAGTGTTATGCAATTTACCCCATTAAAATTTGGCTTTGCCCAGATTTCTTGGAAGAATTGGAGCTCTATAGCATTTTAATCATAGTAGAAACTTAAAATTTGATTTTTTTGAAAGAGAAACAACAGATCTAACTAGTTAATGCAGTGAATATTTTTTAAATAATATTTAAAATTTATGTGTTTTTTTTGAATTTTTTGAAATATTTTTTTTAACCTGTGTTTTATTAAATGTATAACAATCATAAAGTATGATATGGTTGTAATAAAAATAAAAAACAGATCAATACTAGCCCAATTAACACGTTCATGGTGTCAGTAGTTAAACGTTTAGGCAGCTGCTAGGCATTACGAGTCACCCGTGACTTGTACTCTATTTTAATACAGGGCAGCACGAGTCACCCATGCCTCGTACTATTAAATTAATATATTTTATTGCACCTAATAAAATAAAATCGATATATCAAGTATGATGTTTGTAGAATTATGTTATCAAAACATATGCACTGCCCCACTGAAAAACAAGCAATTATGTCTGTAGCCCTAACTAGACATGTCCAGACGAGTCACATGTGCCTCGTAATGCCATGAACGTGTTAAGAGCCAAGAAATAAAAATTTTAAAAATGCTTTTTAATAAAATTTTCAGCACCATACGTAGCATGGATGATCTGTATAACAGTAAAAATCCATACAGGTATTTCTTTAAAAAGAAAATTACCCTTTTAGTTCAAAATCAGATAATTCAAAGTCCCATTTTCAAGGTCCAAAACATTTCAAATTAAGCAAGGATGACTGTATAAAATATCTATCAGAATTTAAATCTTATGAAATATATTAACAAAAATTAAAGAAAATACTAACTGNAATTTAATTAATTAAATTGGCCAAATTATATACTCTATCATTAAAATACATCATATAAAGCCTTAACAACTTGTTTTATGTGATTACAATGAATATAAATTGTATAATTGCAACTAAAATAATCATGAAGGAGAAACGTACGAGGAAAATTTTACATAAAGAAAAGATTTATATTAAACAACTTTCTTAATGTTTATCATGGGTTTTGCTTGGACCATGACAGCAATGGCTGATTAATGAAGGACAAAGTCTGACTTAGTCAAATCACCCATGAAAACTTATGGGATTTCAAACCAGATACATATTCAGCTTCCCCAGAGTGGAAGACTGATGCCTTTGCTAACTTCATCCATCTGGCCATCTTAAATAAACCATATTAGAATGCATTAACAAAATAATACTTTTATTAAATAAGTCTTGAAAATTCTATAATCTGGTGTCTGTAAGTGTATAGGAACTCTATTGGTAATTCAATGATGCAAAATGTAGAATTACCATAGTCGTTGAATTACTGATAGTTCCTATACAACTGCAGATACAGGATTATGGAATTTTTAAGAATTATTTAACATATGTATAGTCGGTGATCCCAACAATAAAAGAAAAGAATACTCATTTAATTACCATATTATTAATTTAGATAGTTCTAATGTTTTTGATCCCATTAATAGTTTTCAAAGGAATCTTCTATAGTAAAACATTCCAAAAATACCTTAAAAATTACATTAATCACTTGAATTTCTAATGTTTTCAGCCATATTTAAACAAATTTCTTCAGGATAAACTTACAAAACTTATGGTTGCATTCAAAGGAGGTCAGTTAAATATGGTTGAAAATGTTAGAAATTCAAGAGATTAATGCAATTTTTAAGATATTTTTGGAGCATTTTACTATTAAGCATTTTAATATTAAGCATTTCTCAATAGTTGAATCTTCTATAGTTTAATAATTAATCAACTCTTTAATTAGAATTCAGAATTAATTTATAATTATTAATCTAAGAATTAGCTTAAATTTGCTTCCTACTGTTGATTTTTTTTTTTTTTTTTTTTTTTTTAGGATCAGAATTGAGAAACCATGGGTGTAGCCAGGGAGGGACCTGAGTACGGCCCACCCCAGAAAATCATAGCTGAAAAAGTGTTGAGCTGATTTACAAAAAGAAATAAAAAGTAGAAAAGTAGAAGCTGAAAATTCTGTCGATCAAAAAACCAATTGTACTGTAAAATAAACTACAATTTCTTGCTGAAATTGTAGTGTTTTTAATGTAGTGTAGAACCTACAAACACTTGTCTTTTTCTTTTACCTGCAACCCCCTGTGTAAGGCTTTGTGACTCCCCCAGGGGGGTTGCGACCCACAGGTTGAAAAACACTGCTTTACACTGATTAGGAAGAGGGTCTTTAGTGTCAATGCTATATCACAATTATTGCATTTCATTACAAATTATAATATGTTTTAATTTATTATAAAATTATTTAAATATATTAAAAATTTCATAGCTGAATATGTACAAAAAATATATCACAATCAATCTCTTATCTAAATAACTATAACTGAAAATAATGCCAAATATTTAATAATTTCCAAAAATCACAGCTATAATTTTTACTAATTAAGTTAATAATAAGATAATTTAAATAAATTTAGAAATATTTAGAAGACAATAAATCAAAATGAGAGTCAAATTTTATTTAATATGCAAATTATGCTAAGTAAATATTCTGAATTGAAATATCTTTCAATCAAGATAATAATTTCAGATTAATTAATAAAAATAATTATTATTTATCATCACACAATCAAAGATTCCTTAACAATGAAAGCTTTTCAAATATCATTTAACTAGCCATATCATACAGTTCTTAGTGCAGTATATATAAAAATATTAATCTGATTATTAACAACATAAAATATTTAATAAAGCACTAAGAATTTTTAGATTATAAGAGTGAAAGTTGATGGTTAATTGTGTATTCACGAAAGGAAAGATATTGGTAGCTTATAATTAACCTTGGTTAAGGATATACTAAAACTATTTTGATTGTATATTAGTTAAAAATTGAAATAAAATTCCAACTTAGTTCATTTAGATAGCACAAACTAGCAATATGTTCATTTATTTGACAAGAGTTTCATGTTCAAATCCTGTTTCAACTATTTTCTCAGATAATAATCCAAACAGTTCTAAAATATGAATTAATGAGCACTAAGTATTGGCTCTATGGAGGACTTATCACAAACTATTGACAATGCCAAAGTAATCAAACAGAAATGGGTGAACTCAAGTTTATTATAATGATGGTATTCACTTTGGATAGTCTGGCTATCCCTCTTCACCCATTTCTGTTTGATTACTCCAACAATGTCAATAGTGTGTGATAAGTCCTCCATAGAGCCAATACTTAGTGCTCATTAATTCATATATCATAATAAAAGGACAAAAAACAAATCATCAGTTCTAAAGTAAATTAAACTGCTTTAAATCATCTAATTATAAAAATCAGTATTGACATTTATAGGTTTTAAGTGAAGTCATATATTGATTACCCAAAATAAACAGTTATATTACTAACAATAACATTGAGCATAAGATACATTAATAATAATAATAATCACCCAAAATCATCTGTAGAAAAACTAACTCTTTCTTGTAATGATGGCTATGGCCTTACTAATATAGTTAACCTCTGACTACAAACAAATTCAGACATTCTCCACAAAAACAAGAAACATCATGATTACTTAAAGCAATAACTCTGGCAGACAGTAACCACACACCTTTAAACTTACAGAAAATCCCACATTCTGCTATAAACAATACAACATATAACCTCTGATTACAAGCTCTTAACACAGACTATTTACATAGGCATAATTATGTAGCAAATATATATAATACACCAAGAGCTTGCAAACAAACACAAATTATTAGACATCCACAAACCATATTACAAATACATTCCACAGACAGTATTGGAAAACAACATGCACAAAATTTACTACGACAGAGCCATAATCACAGATAAAACAATTTACCACAACAGGCCAGACATCACACTCATTGACAAACACAATAAAATCACTACATTATAGACATATCCATTCCAAACACAATATACAAAACAGATGCACTGAAAAAATCAGCAAGTACACAGAACTCACCCAGGAAATAAGGCATCTGTGGAGGATAGATAAGGTGCTAATTGTACCTGTCATTTACTCTACTGGTGTCATACCACAAACACTACATAAAAGCCTGAGAACATTACAATTGAATAGAAACACATACATCACACTACAGAAGGCTACCATATTGATAACATGTCATATTGTTAGGAAATTCCTGAATACAGACACACTGACACATTTATTTAATTTTTGTCTTGTTTTGGTTACTATGCCTTGACTCTGATCCAGCATACTACACAGTCACTGGTGTCAACAGAGTATAACTCACAAAACCCAACATAATAAGTGCAGAGCCCAAACGGTTTAAGAAAATTGAAATTTAGTACACAGTTAGGGTAAGTCATGAGAATGCACACTAAGAAGGGATTTTTCGAAATTCTCCCTGCGGTGCAGAGGTAGAGGGTTAAGGATTACCCTGAAGAACTAGGCTTCTACTGTACCATTTTAGATGCAGTTTTTTGCATTCTTGTGGGAAATTGAACATATTTTTAGACCCATTTAAAAATTCTCTAATTAGTCTCAGAAGAGAGGGACCTAAGTGAAAATAGGTAAGATCAGCTATAATCTAATAATCTTAATCTTTGCTATCATTACTTTTCCAGGCTCATCTGCTAGTGTGAGACCCGAAAGGCCCCTGGGTCTAAATTAATATTTTATTAATAATGTTAAAATAATGTCACCAAATATTACTTCATTTTTGGTGAGGAAAAATACTGTTTTTAACGTGGGAATAGGCAGATAACAGATGTTACTTCCTTTCACTGAAGTTAGTACATCCTCTGACTTTCCCTTATCTGGTTAAAATCCTGCTCAGATGGGAAATGGTTACCCCTCATTCATTCCCCTTTCATCCGTTCTCATGAAAGAGTTACTGGCCGATGATTGGTCGAAATCCTGAGATATAAGGGAAATTAGTCCGAATTCGGAGAGTTCAGTGACAGATCTGAAAGCGTCCAAACTCCATACGTTTTTCCTCCTGATGACCAACGCCCTTAGACGAGTCACTTAGAATAAGTCCGGAGCCTGCATTTAGAAAATATACTTTGGTTTTGTGCACATATTGATCTCCCATCCGAAGAAGTAAATGAACTTTATCTACAAGGTGTCCCTTGCATACAGAGAAGAAGACGAACGACAACTAGAACAGGTTGTATGTTTTATAACGATTTTGTGAGCTCTCTCTCTCGATCGCGCATTCGGTATAATAGAAATATAGATATCTCTCGATTTGTATATTATTAGTAGTAGTTATGTCTCTCGTTTATCCACATTTTGTATGAGTTTATTTTCTTGTTTTATTAAATTTATTATTTCGTTTTACTAAAGGGTCTCTTGATTTTGTGTCTGCATCAGATCTCACACGCGTGTTTGTCCGCGGAATTTAATTGACAAACTGGTGTCAAGGAATCCTGACGAGCATCTGAACTTCGCAGTTCGGATCATATAGCGGTTATCGCTCTCCTATAAAATTTTTTTTTGATCAGATCTAGAGATCTGAAACTTTAGGGAACTATTCTCACCGAATAGGCCGAGTAAGTGGTACCCCTTTTGCTGGTGCCCCCGGCCGATCTCACACTAGTATAAATATAAAACATTGTTGCTAACATCATATGATTTTTTGCAATATATATAATATTAACAAGACTTTTAAATTATGTTTATTAACTGATGTAAAGAGTTCTTAATATGAAAGCAATTCTCTCCAATGACAAGTAAAATTTTTTAATTAACAGAAGACTTATACTAAAAGCTTGTTTAAAAAACCACAAATTATTACAATGCCAAATAACGAAACAAGCAACTTTATTGTAAAGACAATAAGAAAAATCAATAAAATCTGTGACAGAATAANTTTGCTAATAATTCATCAACGGACTCCACCTTAGCTCCAGCTTCTCTTACGGGAGGGTCTTCCACTGATATAATGTCGATTCTGGGAGTTATATCCACTCCCAAATCTGAAGGTTTTTTCTTATCCAGAGGCTTCTTTTTTGCTTTCTGGAATAATTATAAATAATAATAATAGGCTTATTACAAAAAAAATATCTATTTTACTTTAAGAGAAAGTAGACAAGCTATCAAGCAAAGAACTTTAAAAAGTCAGAATTTTATTAAGCATTTTTGGAACTTATGCATTCCATCTTCAGATAAAAGTATTCAAACAAAAAATAAAATCCAACAAAATTTAATTATTAGAAGAAATATGCTCTCATTTAAAGTCTGGCATTCTTCATGTTTTTAACACTTACCCTGCTACGAACATAATATTATGTTTCGTGAAGACTTTGGTAAAAAACAAAAAAGTAATATTATGTTCTTCTATATATCAAGATATTTCTAGCTTTAAAATGTAACATTACATTTTTCAGCAATGAAAATACGATTTCTTTGTGTATTTTAGTGTGTCTGTTAATAAATAGTGGGCACTATTTAGTCAGAAATTTGAAATATAAGCGATTCTGCACAACCATGATCATCGTCTGATTCGAAGTTTGGTGGCCATATTTTGTAAGTGAATATTGAGTCATTTTATTTTTTATATGTGAGTTAAGTTTAGGTATGGCGCATTAATGTACAAACTAATAATTGTTCAAATTCATTAATAAAAAATCNTTTTTAACGTGGGAATAGGCAGATAACAGATGTTACTTCCTTTCACTGAAGTTAGTACATCCTCTGACTTTCCCTTATCTGGTTAAAATCCTGCTCAGATGGGAAATGGTTACCCCTCATTCATTCCCCTTTCATCCGTTCTCATGAAAGAGTTACTGGCCGATGATTGGTCGAAATCCTGAGATATAAGGGAAATTAGTCCGAATTCGGAGAGTTCAGCGACAGATCTGAAAGCGTCCAAACTCCATACGTTTTTCCTCCTGATGACCAACGCCCTTAGACGAGTCACTTAGAATAAGTCCGGAGCCTGCATTTAGAAAATATACTTTGGTTTTGTGCACATATTGATCTCCCATCCGAAGAAGTAAATGAACTTTATCTACAAGGTGTCCCTTGCATACAGAGAAGAAGACGAACGACAACTAGAACAGGTTGTATGTTTTATAACGATTTTGTGAGCTCTCTCTCTCGATCGCGCATTCGGTATAATAGAAATATAGATATCTCTCGATTTGTATATTATTAGTAGTAGTTATGTCTCTCGTTTATCCACATTTTGTATGAGTTTATTTTCTTGTTTTATTAAATTTATTATTTCGTTTTACTAAAGGGTCTCTTGATTTTGTGTCTGCATCAGATCTCACACGCGTGTTTGTCCGCGGAATTTAATTGACAAACTGGTGTCAAGGAATCCTGACGAGCATCTGAACTTCGCAGTTCGGATCATATAGCGGTTATCGCTCTCCTATAAAATTTTTTTTTGATCAGATCTAGAGATCTGAAACTTTAGGGAACTATTCTCACCGAATAGGCCGAGTAAGTGGTACCCCTTTTGCTGGTGCCCCCGGCCGATCTCACACTAGTATAAATATAAAACATTGTTGCTAACATCATATGATTTTTTGCAATATATATAATATTAACAAGACTTTTAAATTATGTTTATTAACTGATGTAAAGAGTTCTTAATATGAAAGCAATTCTCTCCAATGACAAGTAAAATTTTTTAATTAACAGAAGACTTATACTAAAAGCTTGTTTAAAAAACCACAAATTATTACAATGCCAAATAACGAAACAAGCAACTTTATTGTAAAGACAATAAGAAAAATCAATAAAATCTGTGACAGAATAAAATTATATATTAAAGAAATATTTGAATATGTAACTGAAATGAATATGTTTAATAGATAAATTAATAGATAAATTGTTTTTAAGAATAATTTTAACAGAAAGATGATAACCATCTGAACTGGATAAGGCCACTTTATGATAAAACCATTGCCTTTTGTGTGATGATTTCTGTAATTACGTTATAATAATTTATAATTACCAAAAAATATTTTAATAATTTAAATAAATTACCAATATGTAATTTATATAAATTATCTGATGACCTAATATCCCCGAAAGATGGCGACACGTTTAAAGTTCATCGTGCAATTTACTCCCTTTTAATATATTTTCTTTAATAACAAATTTAAAGTATGAAATTTTTAAATTTTACAATAAGATCGCATTTTGTGTATTAAAAAAAATGATAAAATCTTAATTTTCGTTCATACGTATTTATAATTAATTAATTTAATTAATTTTAATTTTGATCATAAGACATACATACTTTTACAGCATAATCTATTACACGTTTGCACCCGACCAAAATACGGAGGCTCATTTTTGATTATTTTTCTAAATTCTTATCTATATTTATGGAAGAAATGACTACATATTCAATACGCCATCTTGCTGATAAAATATGACTTCGATAGCGCCACCTTCCTCTTTTAACTTATAATCCGGAAAATCGAGAAAAACGCGTATTTTTAATTAAATCAATCGAGGAAAAATGTAATATATCGTTTCGGTTTTTATTGCTTTATATATTTCTTTTAACTTCCGTATATATTTTTGGCCCAAATGTCATTAATAATTTTAAATAATTTATATATAGTATATAGCATTTTAAAAACATGGCGAAAAGAAATCAAATAAGCAACAAAACCTTTTTGGCTTCGTATTTTAAAGAATTAAATAATTTATTTAAATAATAATAATAATAATATTGTCATCTACTTTTACAATATTACATATTTTGAAGTTTAATATAAGATACTCAGTCGGTTGGCCAAGGAAGTTAAGGCGCCCGCTTACTGCTCTCTGGGAAAATCGGACGGTCGAAAAGCTCCAAGAATTATATGGAGGGTTTATCCAGATCAGTGGCGTGCCGAGAATGAACTAGAGAAACTAGGCTAGTCCCCTAAATTCCTTAAAGTGCCGTATATATATTATTTTTAATGCATTTGTATTTGAAGCCTTTCACTTAAAAACATATGTATTTTTTTGTCATTCCGGCCAACCGTCCTTTACGCCGAGTTCAACGCTTTCAGGAGCCAACCTGAACACTCCTGAAGGCTCCTTTAGTTAACTCATTCACAGGACTAGCTTGCAGACACGTGTTCCTTACACACTGTTGTGTTTTGTGCGCGTCCATTAATAAGAGATTTTTAGTTTCTTGTGCTTACTGAAAACAACATTGCATTAGTGATTTTGTATTTTTATTATCACAAAACACTTAAAAGGTCTCACCTAGAGAGTGAATCTACTTAAAAGACGGTATATTTAATTAGAAAGCTTTGAATTCAACATGGAAAGGAACTCATCAAGAGAAGCGTGTCCCTCGCAGTGAAACAACGCGGTTTAAAATTATGAATGATGCAGATGATCCAGGCGAATTGTCATAGCAGAGTGCAGACACTCAACAATTTCAGTGCTGTATTCTGGATCGCTGCTTGAAACGTCGTTTGAAGACTTAAGTTTCCAAGAAAATAATTCCAACTACGAGTTGCTCAACTTTCCCGCAACATTTAAAACTGCGTTTGGCGCTATTTGTTATAATATTTTATTTAAATTTTTTAAAACTATTTTTAATTATTATAAAATGGCAAAAGATTTAATTTTGAGGGTAGAGATGGTATTTTATTTAAAAAATAGTAAATGGTAAAAACAAGTAAAATTGTAATTAAGTCCGACCCTACTCGAGATATGACACACGATCCTCCTCTATCTCCCATCCCGTCGACCTTTAACCATCAAAACTTAGGCTGTGTACACATTAGGCTTTTTAAACGCGCGTTTTAAGGACTTGTACACATTAGGCGTTTTCCGTTGCGTTAAACGCGCGTTAGTTCGGCGTTAGCACTGGCTCAGTTTAGAAATGGACGTGAAAGTAATTGCTTGCGTGTGCCTCCTCCATCGTCGCTATAAAAGACGATAGCAGAGGCAAAGAGAATTTTGGGTGCACCCAATATTACGAGATAGACTGACGCTTTAACAAAAAATTAACAAAAAATTTAACAAAAAATCTATCAACGCGCGCGTTTGAGTATGTACGCCTACGCAGAACTCTTGATTCTTTAGGCTGTGTACACAATAGGCGTTTTTAAATGCGCGTTTTAAAGAACCAAGAGTTCTATATAGGCGTACACACTCAAACGCGCGCTTTTGGCCAAGCGCGCGTTTATAGATTTTTGTTAAAACGTGCGTTTTGCGGGCGCTTTGAGATATATGTGCTGAAATGGATAACGATCATTTCGATACTGATCTATTTATTGATGAAATCTAAAAGAGACCAACCATCGTCAAAGGATTTTATAGATATTTTAAAAGAATTAAAAAACTTGGGTTCATTTTGTCTTAGTTTTGGATACAACGTCGCAAACATTCCATGTGTCAGTCTATCTCGTAATATTGGGTGCACCCAAAATTCTCTTTGCCTCTGCCATCGTCTTTTATAGCGACGATGGAGGAGGGGTACACAAGCAATTACTTTCACGTCCATTTNAGGCCTAACTAAGATAAAAAAAATAATAGAAATAAGCCACATAACTTTGTTATTATTTTAAACCTGTATAGTTTATGATATTACATAATTTATATACTTTTTAGATATTATCAATACAAAAGTCGAATTCCTAAATTTCTGATAGTGCTAATGCCATCTTATGTACATTTGCCGAACCAACTGAATTACGAAAAACGGCTACAGTCAGAAAAAAGTCTACTAATAATACTGATACAGTACATCATTATTTTGAATAAATCAATCGATGTACTATATATTTCATACATAAAAATACTAATTTCAAAGCTATATTGCAGTTTATCATTTTTTTCATTTTATCTTTATCTCTAAAACATGTCCAAATAACATTAAAGCATAATACATAAAAATAAAGCATGAACACATCAAAATTGAGTAATGTACAGATAAATGTTCATAATATCAGACACTCTTTTTACATTTTACCTAGCTTTAGTCAATCGTTTTTTATTTTTAGTAGATAATACTGTAAAATTGCTTAAATCAGTCAGCAGACAGGTAAGGAACTAGGTCAACTGGACCAGCAGGGTAATAAACATAATTTAAAGTGTTTTAGGATGTTTATGTTTTAATTGAATTTTATAAAATTAATGTTAAACTACAATTTTAAAAATTTATAGTAAGAATATTTTTTAAAGTTTATTTTGATATTAAAATCAAAATAAACTTTAAAAAACAAAACAGCAATTTGTGTTTTCTATTCAAATTATTATATGACTCTCATATATTTCAAATAGTTTATCTGAAATAACAATTAAAACTATTTACCATTATATTTGGAAGAGTGGCGTATCGAGGCTCGTTGAGTCTAAGATCGGCACTCAAGACTGCCGGAAGCGTTACGGTTATATTTTCTAGACCTCCATCAATTTCTCTTGTGACTTTCATTTTGCCATTTTCTATTTCTATTTTTGATGCAAATGTTGCCTGAAAATTAAGAAAGTTTTTAATTAAGTAATCATAAATAAAATATTAGATTTCATATTAAAATAAAATTACTAAGGAAATTTCATTGGTCTTTTTACAAGATCTAACATATAAGTAAAAATTATGTTATAAAGAAGGAAATTTCCACAAATGTAATACGAAATACTAATATTATATATACAGTAGACCTCCCATAATGCGGGTTCATATAATGCGGATTCGTATATTGTGGTGAAAAAATTGCAACCGTATTTGTATAAAGATGCTAAAAGAGACTCGTAAAATGCGGTCTCCGACTCGTGTCACGACAGGATTGGTCGAATCTGGACCAATAGTGGACGAGCAGCCGAACTACTTACATGCTACAGAGAGTTTAGGCGGGTAAGATGAGTTCACTATCGTCTGTACAGTATATAAATTAGATACTGTAATTTTATACATTTCTTGTGAAAAAAACATTTCTTATTCAACGGCCATAAAAATTATTTCTATTAATGATGTCTCCAAAGTTCAACTTATCAGAAAACGCGCCCGCCGTTTGGTGCGCTGCTCCACGACGAAAACAANAAAGAATTAAATAATTTATTTAAATAATAATAATAATAATATTGTCATCTACTTTTACAATATTACATATTTTGAAGTTTAATATAAGATACTCAGTCGGTTGGCCAAGGAAGTTAAGGCGCCCGCTTACTGCTCTCTGGGAAATTCGGACGGTCGAAAAGCTCCAAGAATTATATGGAGGGTTTATCCAGATCAGTGGCGTGCCGAGAATGAACTAGAGAAACTAGGCTAGTCCCCTAAATTCCTTAAAGTGCCGTATATATATTATTTTTAATGCATTTGTATTTGAAGCCTTTCACTTAAAAACATATGTATTTTTTTGTCATTCCGGCCAACCGTCCTTTACGCCGAGTTCAACGCTTTCAGGAGCCAACCTGAACACTCCTGAAGGCTCCTTTAGTTAACTCATTCACAGGACTAGCTTGCAGACACGTGTTCCTTACACACTGTTGTGTTTTGTGCGCGTCCATTAATAAGAGATTTTTAGTTTCTTGTGCTTACTGAAAACAACATTGCATTAGTGATTTTGTATTTTTATTATCACAAAACACTTAAAAGGTCTCACCTAGAGAGTGAATCTACTTAAAAGACGGTATATTTAATTAGAAAGCTTTGAATTCAACATGGAAAGGAACTCATCAAGAGAAGCGTGTCCCTCGCAGTGAAACAACGCGGTTTAAAATTATGAATGATGCAGATGATCCAGGCGAATTGTCATAGCAGAGTGCAGACACTCAACAATTTCAGTGCTGTATTCTGGATCGCTGCTTGAAACGTCGTTTGAAGACTTAAGTTTCCAAGAAAATAATTCCAACTACGAGTTGCTCAACTTTCCCGCAACATTTAAAACTGCGTTTGGCGCTATTTGTTATAATATTTTATTTAAATTTTTTAAAACTATTTTTAATTATTATAAAATGGCAAAAGATTTAATTTTGAGGGTAGAGATGGTATTTTATTTAAAAAATAGTAAATGGTAAAAACAAGTAAAATTGTAATTAAGTCCGACCCTACTCGAGATATGACACACGATCCTCCTCTATCTCCCATCCCGTCGACCTTTAACCATCAAAACTTAGGCTGTGTACACATTAGGCTTTTTAAACGCGCGTTTTAAGGACTTGTACACATTAGGCGTTTTCCGTTGCGTTAAACGCGCGTTAGTTCGGCGTTAGCACTGGCTCAGTTTAGAAATGGACGTGAAAGTAATTGCTTGCGTGTGCCTCCTCCATCGTCGCTATAAAAGACGATAGCAGAGGCAAAGAGAATTTTGGGTGCACCCAATATTACGAGATAGACTGACGCTTTAACAAAAAATTAACAAAAAATTTAACAAAAAATCTATCAACGCGCGCGTTTGAGTATGTACGCCTACGCAGAACTCTTGATTCTTTAGGCTGTGTACACAATAGGCGTTTTTAAATGCGCGTTTTAAAGAACCAAGAGTTCTATATAGGCGTACACACTCAAACGCGCGCTTTTGGCCAAGCGCGCGTTTATAGATTTTTGTTAAAACGTGCGTTTTGCGGGCGCTTTGAGATATATGTGCTGAAATGGATAACGATCATTTCGATACTGATCTATTTATTGATGAAATCTAAAAGAGACCAACCATCGTCAAAGGATTTTATAGATATTTTAAAAGAATTAAAAAACTTGGGTTCATTTTGTCTTAGTTTTGGATACAACGTCGCAAACATTCCATGTGTCAGTCTATCTCGTAATATTGGGTGCACCCAAAATTCTCTTTGCCTCTGCCATCGTCTTTTATAGCGACGATGGAGGAGGGGTACACAAGCAATTACTTTCACGTCCATTTCCAAACTGAGCCAGTGCGTACGCTCCAAAAACGCTCGTCGAACGCCGAGCTAACGCGCNCTTTCGCTCTTTAAATGTAATCTTTAAAGATAAAAAAAATAATGTCATATAGTTTAAACAAAGCAAATATCTTAAGAAATTATAATTTATTTTCAGACATGTTTATATTTTGTAGTAAAACTGAGCAAAAAGAATTCTTTAAAGTGCAAAAAATGAGTAGAAGTTACTTGGATGCTTTATATGCATAGTATTTTAAGTACTTTCATATTTTCTATATGCATATAGGAAGTACTTTATGATTATATAATCAGTGACCCAAGTAAAAATTGTTGAGAATTTTTAAAAATTTCTAGTCTTATTTTAAATAATAAAAATTTTAATGCTTTCACATCAATAGAGCATGATAATTGATAATACATGCGTTCTTTATATATAAAATTGAAATTTTTTTTTATATTGAAATTTATATAAAAAATTGAAATTGAAAATTAAAATGTAAATTTTTAAATATGCTTAAACAATATCCATTTCCATTTATTAATATTATAACTCCAATATATGCTGTAATGTTCTCTTTCTTCTTCTTACTATTTCATATGTTGCTGTAATGTTATTGCCATCCACTTATTTTAGTGATGATATCTTTAAAATAAAGTTAAAACAACTTCAAATTATTTAAAATTAGTTCAAATATATATTGTCGAACTAAAATTTCAAATCATTTGTTCATCATGTTTTATTCAATTTTTAATAATTTCAGATCAAAATAGTTTAAATTTTGTTTTGATTATGTTAAAATATTGTATAATACATTTTATAAGATTTGTACTTACTTTGTTATATATAAAATAATGCAGATTATTATCTTGTATGTTGTTATATCTGTATAGTTCAATATAGATAGTAATTAACAGTTCAGAAGAATGATTATTCAAATATTAGCAATGTATATTTTTCAAACGTCAGGAACAAATTGTTTTTTATGCTAAGTCAAATATTGAAATATAATTTTTACATTTTAATACACTAAGTTTACTTGAAATATTTACTTTATTAACATTGATTTGATGAAAGTGTTATTAACAAAAATTGATTAAAATATAATTTTAAATATATTCTAAATTTTATCTATACTGTAATTTAATGCTTTTACAGAACCATCACTTAATTACATGTACAGTTTGAAGGATAGAGGGAGTCATGAAAAATACATCATTGTACAGAATGGGAGGAAAGGGCTCAAGGCAGTGTCTACATGGAGTTTTTTACTGGTATTAGTGGCATACAAATTTGTTCTTATAAATTAATTACTAACTTAGTCATGTGAACAAATTATCAATTAGAAAATATTTGCAGAACTTTTTAAAACCATTTCTTCAGTAACAGGGCGGACCATGAACTATTGTATACATAATTAAATGAGAGAGAGTTTGCCAAAAATATTGAACACATTGAACACACAACAGGAAGGGGGACTGTCAAAAGTAGTTCAAAAACTGTACATAATTAATGGATGGCCTAACCTGTAGATGAGTTAAAAGCACTAGAGCTTGCTTATTTACTGGAAATTTTAATGAAGTAGAAATTTTGTTCATTTAATATTATAAATACATTATAAATGTCTTTGTATATAACATTGGTTAAATATTGCAGATTATTTTAGCTTTCTTCAGCATGATTCAGAAAGAATTTCTCAAATTCTATATTTTGCATATTAAAGTTAAAAATATTTAATTTTATAAATTTTCACTAAACCTCTACAATAACCTGCAGTTCTACAAAGTGATGTAACTTAATGTATAAATACAAAATAGGGTAAACTGAATTATATTATCCACAGTTCATAGCAAGAACTCTCACACAATATTGAAAAATTGTGCCTTGTTTAGCTTGTATGAAAGCCCACTGAGGAGGAAAATATTGTAATTTCTGAAATGCATCTGGGTAAAATAAAGTCATTGATTGGCTAGTATTTTTGGAGTCTGTGGATATGATAATTCCTAGAAAATAATGGTGTCTGAACTAGTTACATATTGAAATTTAAAAAAATGGAATATAAGGATAAATTATATTGTTTAGTATATAAGGTGGGTGGAAAATAACTAGGCATTGAGAAATTGCTATAATTTCTATATTTCTAATGCAAAGATGATGAAAATTATTTGGCACATACTTATTAAATAGAAATACAGGAGCATACCTTAAAATTAAATGTAGGCACTAGTGCCATCCACCAATGACATGTTTTCCTCAGATTGTGATGTGAATGGACAGCCACCTTTCTGTATGCTCACAACCTAACCTTTGATCATTTTAGCTTTGAATGACAATTCTTGGTTGTTTCCAGACGGATTGAGGCATGAAATCCATTCACCATATCTCTGCACATTAACCATTGATTTGCACACCTCATAGCTTGTAGCAATCTGCATTTGCTCCTGGACAGACAAGCAGCTGGCCATCTTCGTTGCCACTGCATATATAGCCTCTCTCAGTCACTACCCACACAACTATTGAGGAATTATAAAATTCTGTTGATTGATGTAATTGCACACATAATTTTTATTATGATTGCATTATTATTACAAAAATTATAGTAATTTTTCAATGCCTAGTTACTTTTCACCAACACATTTACATTATTATTCAAATTTTTTTTCACTATTCTAATAAGTAATTTAATCAATAAAATTTNAAACTTGGGTTCATTTTGTCTTAGTTTTGGATACAACGTCGCAAACATTCCATGTGTCAGTCTATCTCGTAATATTGGGTGCACCCAAAATTCTCTTTGCCTCTGCCATCGTCTTTTATAGCGACGATGGAGGAGGGGTACACAAGCAATTACTTTCACGTCCATTTCCAAACTGAGCCAGTGCGTACGCTCCAAAAACGCTCGTCGAACGCCGGGCTAACGCGCGTTTATTAAAACGCCTAGTGTGTACACAGCCTATAACGCACGTTTAAAAACGCCTAATGTGTACACAGCCTTAATGGCATCAATGACCTTAATACACAAATCTCCCTGCAAAATTTCAGAAATTTTCGACAAAAAGCACAGGAGTTATTAATTAAGCTTCAAAGAGAGCGAACAGAATCGTGTTCCCCTATACACTAATATCCATATATACAGAAAATCTCGATTTTTTGTATTTCTCGACGTTTGAAGGTATCCGAAATGTAAAAATCGTGGAGGGGTCAGTTTTAACTGATCTCCAGCTCTGTATAACAGAGCTGGGAAAGTAAAATTAATGTGCCAATAATCTGCGAATAAAATAAGTTTTTCCGGTGTTTAAATAATAATTGTTATAATGTATGAAAAATGGGTTTTCTCACATCCCTTTTGAAAATTGTCATCGCACACCGTTAATCCGGAATATCGAGCCTCATTCCTCACCATCTGGCCACCCCATTATGAGCCTGGCCAAATCCAGGATGGGCTTTAAAAAGGCTGTGTCTATAGGGAAGAAAGAGTAAACAAAAAGTGCATAAATTCAAAAAAGAGTAAATGTGTTCTTATAATTCGGTAATAATAAATCTTTAAATAATCATTTTATTTAAAAAAATTTATGTATCCCATATTCTATTTTTCTTCATTTTATTTAATTCACTACAAACTAACCTATTGCGTTTGTCCAACGTCTGTTTAATCTTTATCTCAGTTTGATTATTTTATAATTTAGCATCCTTTTATATATAACTATTTTTGAGGGGTATTCTGGATAATAAAAGTAACCAAGAAGCATTTTCCGAGGAGAAAGCAGTGAATGTTAAAAGGCCATTTAAAATAAGATCGATCACTGCTAATACTTATCCCAAAAGATTACACACAATGATTATGATCGATTCCTATTAATCATACCTTTTAGGTCAATTTTATTTCATGATTTGAATTTAAAACGAGAATACAGTAATTTCTTTTTATAAACACCGGTATATTTTAAATAATAACGAAAAAATTGAGGGATGTAAAAAAATAATCTAAAACATCTATAGTAAACATTGAAATACTGTATATGAATTCTGATCACTTTTATTGATAAACATTTTAAAATAAAATTGCCATTAAGTCACCAAAAGTCACTTTAACAAGACAGAACCGCTAATATAATTAGGAACTTGTCTTAGTAATGAAGAAGAGATTTTTGATAATTGGCTTTAATCCATTTTTAAAACGATTCGATATTAAAAGTGCAAATTATTATGTGCGTATGTTTACAATAATAAAATAATGTCAATCAAAGGCTTCTTTACTTGGTGGGGAGTCACTACCGTGACTATGATAAAATAATATCTAATTTTTTAATTAATGAATAAAATCAGAGAGATGTAGCCTACTATAGTTTTGAACTCAACGCAGTGCACTGCTATTCTAGCAAATAATAACGTTAATTATTTTTCTAAATTTAATAATTCGCATACAACAAACATTAAATATTCCACTACTGTTTGACATCATTTTAATAAAGAATTATACACAGAAAACCTAGAATCGAATCAATTCTTCAAATTATGCATTAAAATTCTTGTTAAAGTGTTTAAGGAAAATTTTTTGTTATAAATATAAATTGAAATGCTCTTTACCATTACTTAATATCATATGCAACACAAAATTGCTGAACAACAAAAGCTGTTCAATCAATAAAATTCCTAATCGACCTAATTTCGAATATTTACTAATAAACTTTGGTTTTTTATCATCTTCCATTCCCCCCAATGTACTTTAATAATGACTGTTTTTATATGCATTACCATATTCATCTGGTACATGTTTATATTTTTAACAAATCAAAAATAGAAGATAACATATAAATAACAGCACTACAATGAATTCTAAAACACTATCCGAGATGATAAACTTTTCCCACGTGTAAAACACTCAAAATGTTATTTATGTTCTCTTTAAAATACACGGACTATAGCTTCTAATGCATATTAATTAACACTCCTGTAATTAAGTTGTCTTAATAATTTATGCAATAAGAGCAACCGTTATCTCATTAGCATAATCGATCGCGGAGGTGTTTCCATTTGTAACGTAACGATCTTTCCTCGATGCCAGAACAAACATATTAATAATTACAAACTTCATGAATTAATCAATCGGTACTAAGCTACTACTAAATTAATATGCATTTTCTATTCTTTTATATAGATTTATGTTAAATTGTTGTTAATATATCATTTAAAATTTTAATTTTAGAAATGGAAAGCAATAAAAAAACATGTGAGAAAAATCAAGATGCTGCTACAACCAGTAGTTCTTTCTGTGAAATAATAAACATGAGAAACAGTTGTAATGATTCAGCAGAAAAGAGTGATTACAATCCATGTTCTCCAGATAAATTAATAAATTATGACAATACTATAAAAGTATTAAATGAATCTTCATGCAGTTCTTATGAAGGTAAGATTTTTTTAAAATATTCTAAAATACCATTAATTGTAATTTCTTTTTAGTTATATTAATGCTTTTTATGAAAGAAATTATTTTGTCATGCCAGATTTTTATCAGATTTAAGATCACTGTCTTTCAGGTTAATAAAGTTTTAATGAGTACAAAGTTTAAAGCACAAAAATATTTTGTGTTTTTGTGCTTTACTTATCAAAGCTTTATTAACACCAAAGACTTAATCCTAAACTTTTATCTGAATGCTTTTTATTCTGAAATATATTAAATTTGAAAACAGTTCTCATATTCAATTCCTTTCTGTTGTAATCAGTTATATGATGTCAGCTAACTTTCATATGGTTTAGTGATTTTAATCAATAATAAATATAATTATTAGTTTATAAAAGGTTATTGAATAACTCATGATGGTGTATATTAGTTGAAAGCATATATAGTAATTTTATACAAATTAAAAATATAAATATAGATTTTTAACAAATGAAGCCTAATAAAATACAGTCAACTTGCCTTAAAACAAACACCAATAAAGCAAATTTTACTTTGCTTTGGCAATACATCATTGTCACAATATTAATTTTTACATGATACAGCAAATAAAAATTATAGTGACGATGATAATGGTTGATAATGTTAAGTAAGACTACTGTATGAATATAAGTTATACAATAATAGTTTTCTGTTTTAATTTTAATAGCAATGTTTATTTTCTAAATATTCATTTGTTTTTTAAAATATATTAATGAGATGAATTGGTTCCAATTAATAAGAATTATATTTCTTGTCATTTAAAGCAGCTAGATGTTAGGCAGTTAATCATTCAAATCTTGTTGTAATGTTTATACATATTTTTGACTAGAATAGAAAAGTCTTTGGAACTCTAGGAACTACTTTTATGCCAATTCCAAAAGTAAATACTTCACATATATCCCATCTTCCAATAAATTTAAAATGTGTCATCACTGACCAAGTGATGTAGCTTCAAAAGTACTAAAGTAGTTTTGAAGCTACATCTTCAGAAGCTACAAGAAACTAAATTTGAACATATCCACAAAATTCTGGTAATTTGAAAATTGTCAATGGTTAAGAACACTTAAGACTTTAAAGTACAGAATCATTTATTTACAAATCCATAGGAGTTTTATGTGAGTTGAAAAAATAAAAGCTAAATACAATTATAAATTATCTTCTGAACTTTCAATATTAAATAGGAAGAGAAATTCATTCAAAACATTGACATTATTTTTTAATCTAATGAAAACTAATTATTAAGTTTCATAAAAATAAACATTTAACTTGATTTTAATTTTATGTTATATATAACTGAGAGATTTGGTGAAAATTATCATTCTCTTTATTATAAATTAAGGATAATCTGATTTGAATTCATTATANAAAAAAAAAAAAAAAAAAAAAAAAAAAAAAAAATGGGAGGGAATAGATATTGTAAATGGGTCCAACAATAATTGGCACCAAGGGAAACTGAAATTTACATCAAAGTACATCCCATTCCCTTTTTTTTATTTTATTTTTTTTTTTATAAATTACAACAAGAGTTTACCGACAGATGACGAATTTTAAATACCATTCCTATCAGTGGAAATTCTTTGGTGATTTTACTGTCCTACATATCAGAATTCTAGAGAACCGTAACCGTACTGGAAATTGTGATCTGTTATCAGGAAATATTGATTGTTGTTCAGTATTCTGTATAGTTGGATTCATTTTTGTAGGATGGTTATCGTTCTTAGTTCTTGAGTACCAAACCATTGTCCTTTGTTCCAATATACACATTCCTGCGAACGATTAAAAGTTTCTCTCTTTTTTTTTTTTTTAAATTTCCCCACAATTTCCGAACCGACTTAAGATAAAACCGATGTTTTTAAACGTTTTCTTCTGCCCTGTTTGGAATCTTCGGTGTCGGAACTTTCGGAACCGGAACCGCCATCAAATGCCGAGATTGAATCTCCTTTACTATTTAACTGAGTTGATGTTTCCAACACTCCCGAAGCTGCAAAACTTCCCGTTGTCTTTGTTTTCTCTAAAGTACGAACTGAAGTTACATAAAAAAAAAACCAATAAATTAGATTAAAGTGTAAATTTTTTCCAGTTATAAAATGTAAATTAATAAATATGTAAATACTGTATAAAAATAACTAGACATTTTGCTATGAATTGTATATTTAGTCGTTTTTCCTGAAAAAAAATCGTTTTCCTTTTCATCATGTCTGTCAAATTGTCAAATGATGATAATTTGATGTTAAAAAGTGGGGTTAAAGCATTTGAGTGCAATTAAAAAGGGATGAATAGGTACAGTTTTGACAAATAAACAATGGAGAAAATTGAAATAAGATAGGGCAAAGCAAAAATAAGTAACATTTTTTAGATCCAAACTACCAATGATAAATTTTCCTGATCAGATTTGAATATGGATCTCTCACAACAGGCTGATGCGTTAATATCATGGCAAAATTTTTAATCATCAATGAAATTGCATTTATAATATAAAGTGATTGTAATAATAGCAATCACATTTAATCATTCTATTTCAAAAATTATTATAAGAATATTGACTAAAACTAATAGAATGATGACTTTTAATTCTATTTCAAACCAAATCTGGATAAAAATATTTTCTATTTATAGAATCTGCCATATGGTAATTTTTATGTTAATTAAAATTAAAGACAAAGTCCATTGAAACAGCTACCTTTTTATTCTGTGGAAAATCGCAAGACTTAATATTCTCACTAATTGTAGGTGTAGGTAAATTACCACGTGGGGAAGAGACACACAAAGAGGCAATTTAACAATAAGTTTATATAAACCACAAAATATATGTATTTGTACAATTATACCTAGGTCCACAAGATACAATTCTACACGCACTAAAAGTTCTCACCGCTACAATACTATGGTCACAGATAGTTCACATGCCGTAATCCAATTCGTTACAGGACAAAGAAACCGGAAAACTCCTAAAAAAAGAAATGCTCCGTACGATTCACCGATGTCCTGAATAGGAAGAAAAAAGCCTTATAGCCAGTCGATGTCGTCTTAAATACCCTCCTGTACACTCGACAGGTTGCCAACCTTTTCCCCCACTGCAGAAAAAAATAAATAAAAATATGTATATACATAAGACAAAGCTGCAACCACACAATTCACTTTTTATGGAATACATCCCTTGACAACCTGACCATTATCACAGTATTCCAAAAAAGTGATATAGTAGCTGTTTTCAATGGACTTTGTCTTCAACTGTAGTTAATAATATAAACATATTCATAATGAAAAACAAATAATTAAACTAACAGAATTTCAAATTTATGTTAAGCAAGAGAAATTATTTTGAATTAGCAAATATACAATAGAATCTAATTATTGTAATCACTTTGAGACTATCTTACACTGATGATGATAACTAGATGATAACTTCAGGAAAAGTAAATAATACTACAGTTAGTGGAAATCCAAGTTTTATTAGACTATTTAGACTTTGATATTAAAAGATCATGTTAAAACAATTAAAATTATTTAACTTGAATATTTACTAATTATAATTATTGTTATGAATTAATAGAAATGCATAATTGTTGAACACCTTTCAATTTTTGAATTGAAATAACATGACTTCTGGTTTGAATTGGAACTTCTTATACAATTAATCGGGGCCTCCTGTCCTAAGATTTCCATATCTAGTCTCATCTTTTATCTATCTAATTTGTTCTCAAGATTAAGGAAAGACAGATGAATGGATGGACAACAGTGGAAATTTATAGGTCTACAATTTTTTTCAAATTGAAGCCCAAAAATCATCTTAAAGTAAAAGTAATTAAAGTAAAACAAAGATTATATTTATAAATCATTTTAACAATTATGTATCATTAAAAAGTATGTTTATTAAACTGATACCAGAACCTAACAGGTTTTTTTTTTAACACTGAAACAGCCAATCTTCTACTCTGATTTTCTCAAAAAATTATTTACATTTAACATAACAATAAATGTTATTTTTCAATCTAAAGGTTTTCGAGTTAAAAATATATTTTATTTTTGTAATCTTGTAAAATTTAAGTTAAATATAAAGCAACACATTATAAAAAATTTTGTTATATTTAAATATCAGAAATGACCATTTTCATAATATTTCCAAATAATGAAATCTGAAATTTAACTTGTACAGTTATGAAATGTTCTTTTTGCCATCATTTACTGATATAAACAATATTTTTATTTCATAAATCTCCAAAACTCATGTACAATATTTTTCTGCTAAGCAATAATTTATATTTTGCACAAAAAAGCATTGATATTCTTCTTATAAAAATATATATATAATTAAATTAAATACAGAATGGAATAGAAAAAGTAGCCCCAATCTGACTCGAGTCTCTAATGCTAGTGTATCGTATGAATGAGCATGAAATGTTATTAAAGATTAGTTAGTGAAATGTTGTTTTGAATGAACATTGATTTGTACTGTGCAAATCTGCAAATAATACAAGAACTGAGGGACATCAACCACACAATTATTGCCACTGATGTCACTATGTTACATTGAGTATTCCTAAATGTGTGAGATATATGGTATTATGTTGGGGTTGACTAAGGAATCTAGCCAAGGTTGCCACATAAAAACTAAAGTTTAATTTGCAATTCATTAATCAAAATTAAAACTACTGAAGACTGGAATAAGAGAGAGGGAAGAGAAATGACAAGGATCATTTCAGAGAGGTACCTCAAAGCTCAAAGTGGTGGATTGTGACAATGTCATATTCTTTAGTATCACAAAATAAGAATGGTATGATATCAGACAGTCCTCCTTTTTATTGGTAAAGCTTTGTACAATCTTCAGGGTTACTATGATCTGACAATCTTCTTATCCATTTTGCTTGTTGAAAGAAGACTTGATCATCCTTCTATATATGCAAAAATGTGTGTTTTCTTCTGTCCACCCATTACATAAACTTCCCCTCCACTTCCTCTGAGTGTATTGCCCCTCTAGGCAATAAAGTAAACAGCAACCAGAAACAAAAGAGATAAACAGAGAAAGTTGTAAAAATATATACAAACAATAACTGTATCTAAATATATTTACATTTAATACATGATTCAACATACACAGCTATGTATAATTGCAACAGGTGAACACTTTCATCATTATTTAGGATGTCTTCTGTGTTGATTACTGTTATTCTGTGTTTCTGTTAAGCTATGGATCAGGGCTACTTTTAATATATAATATATAAATATACAATATATAAATTATTCAAACAGATCAGCATTAAAATGCAACATTAGATATGTTTTAATTTTACATCATTATTTATTTTACTTGAAAAATTAAGTTGAAAAATAAGAAATCCTGATTTGCTTTATTGCATGATCATGCTTAGATTTTAATGCTTATAGGTAATTGCTTATTTATCATGAATGTATCTAATTTTTCAGTCAGTTAGAAAAAAAAAACCACTGACATCATCCATGCTTTCTTATCTGCTGCATGTCATACAGTATAGATAACATCTTGGCATTGCAGAAACATTGAGGCTTTAAAGATTTTCCAATTAATAACAATGGCAGTTTTTCATTACCAGTCATGTTTGCTACCAAAAGATTTACATTTTTAATCTTTATGAAATAAATTACCTTTGAACACCACTGTTTTTTCTGGTAGCCATTTACAAATGAAGCCTGTGTAGTGCTCTGTCACTTTGTTTGTTATTAAACGTTTTCTTTGCATTGTGGTTGTAATAATTTTAATGGATTATCATTCAGTTTAATTCATGTCGGGTTATATTGTGTACAATAAATTGAGCCACTTTCTGGTTTATGTTGGACACCTTTTTGATGTTAACGTACCCAGGCTCACTGATTGGTAGAGGAATGGATGATGTATAAACCTGTGACGTCGGATGGCAAGTGTTATAAATACTGGTCATTCACCTAAAAGAAGCACCTTTTGCTTTGACCTTTGTCTGGTCCTGCTGAACACCTACCGTCTACTAGAGAACAGCTAAGAAAGGCGAGTTTCATCAACTATAGGAGAGGAACTGAAAAGTGTTATTTAGAAGAGAAGGAGAAATCTGTTAACATCCAAGGATAGTAGGATGAGATTGATGTGAAACTCTTAGGCATCTTATATTACAAGGGAAAGGATACATGTAAGACTGTTATTTCCTTTGTATGACATCACAGAGACAAAGTAATGTAGCATGTGAGACAATATATATATATAAGGATTAACCGATAGTGTTATGTATGAGAATCAATAAGGCTATATGATCCCGAATCAAACTCATTTTATTGCCTCATCTGCACGAAAGAATTGTAAAGTTCCTTATTTGTTTCCTGTTGCCCTAGCTTCACACCCTGTATACCTAGGTATATCAGGGAACCTAACACCTGTTTTGTTTGTAATGAATTCATTATCAGAGCTGCAGTTCAGTACGATTTCTGGTAAACTTTTTGACCAATCTTCACACAATCCTTCCCTTGCATTTTCACCACGGATTTTATTGAAAAATATTCCATGTCACTTATTAAACTTATCGTTACTTGCTACTTGCTTTGAATCTGGTATGCCACTTATCCAAATTATTCAACATTTTCCATAAGAAATTTTCCATCAACATGAAAATTCTTGTCTCTACACTGTTCAAACCACTTCAGCACACACTTTTGGCAACTGGATACTTACATTTATGCTTACTTTTCTATTCTGTCTTATTTTGTTGTTCATTGAAGTTTTCCAAAATCCTCCCTTATTTTTCAGATATGTAGAGATCTTAGTGTGAAAAGCTTAAAGGTCAGAGGCCCCAATTAACTATATATGAATTTCCAATCTGAACCAGAAGTTTATCAAAATTTTCTTGACAACAGAGTTCAATCAATAACTGGCATGACTTGATTGTTAGCAAGAGAAGTATGACATACAGGGACAAGACACTACTAAAATTGAGACTAGATATTGAAAGCTTAGGACAGAGACCCAAATTAAATATATATATGAACCTCAATCTGGACTGGGTTATGCAATTTTTTTTTTTA